CAGTGATCCGCCTACCTTGGCCTCCCAAAATGCTGGGATTACAGGCGTGAGCTGCTGTACCCAGCCTAAAGGTAGAAATTTGATTTGCATTTAGGCACCTGTCCTCTTTATTCCTGCCCCCCAACCCTCGTTTTTTTAAGAGACGAGGTTTCACTGTGTTAGGATGGTCTCGATCTCCTGACCTCATGATCTGCCCTCCTTGGCCTCCCAAAGTGCTGGGATTACAGGCGTGAGCCACCACGCCCAGCCTTTATCCCTTTTCCTTCTCTGATATACATCAAGGTCCTTTTCTCCCTGGGTCCCATCCTTATCCTGTAAGCTTTCTCTTCCTGTCTTTCAAATATTTTTAATTCATAGAAGAATTACAAGTGTGCTACAAGGAACTCCTGTATAATCTTAACCTAGTTTAGTTCACCAGTTGTTAACATTTGGCCACCACATGTGCTTTATCACTCCTTCCCTCTCATTATAGATAGATGTTTTTTTCCTGAACCATTTGAGAGCTGATTGCAAACATTCTGCCTCTTTACACTTACTTTGGAGTGTGTTCCCTTTGAACAAAAACATTTTTGTTTGTTTTACATAAACAACAAAAGTTATTGTTAAGGAAATTTAACAGTAATTTAGGAAATTGTACATTGATAACAGTACTTTTATTAATTATATAGTCCACATTTAAATTTTGTCAGTTGTACCAATGATGTCTTTATAGCTGTGTTTACTCCTTATCCAGAGTCTGGGATCACACTTTCTGCCTCATCCTGTCTCCGTACTCTCCTTTAATCTGAGAATTAAGATTAAAAGAAGTAACTTCCTCAGCCTTTCTGTGCCTTTCATACCATTGATATTTTTGAAGACTACAGGCCAGTTGTTTTGTAGAATATTTCTCAATCTGGGTTGGTCTGGTGTTTTCTTATTAGATGCAGGTTACATATTTTGGGTGGGAATACCATAGAAGTGATGTTGTGTCCTCCTCAGTGCATGCACTGTGGCCAGAGGCACATGGTATCGGTTTGTTCTACTGCTGATGATGTCAGCCCTCTAAGTCTTCTATGTTGAAACTTTTCTTGTAGTTACATGAACTCTTAAGGTGTATATACTTAAACTCTGACTATAGGAATTCTCCTGCTTATAGGAATTCACTCTTAAGCAGGCAGCATTCTATTAAGTTCTTCTGTTCAGTCTCAGTTCAATCAGGTGAACCCGAGTTGCCTCCCAATTCTTTCTGTCCTTTGCAGCATCACTCTCTGGGACTCCTGGGTTCCCATCAGAAGTCACAATAGCTTTTCTTTCTCCTAGTAAGTTGCATCCCTTGCCAGACTCTTTCAATCAGTGATCACTTCTTATGTACAATCAGTCTTTTTGAGACGGAGTTTCACTCATGTTACCCAGGCTGGAGTGCAATGGCGCGATCTCGGCTCACCGCAACCTCCGCCTCCTGGGTTCAGGCAATTCTCCTGCCTCAGCCTCCTGAGTAGCTGGGATTACAGGCACGCACCACCATGCCCAGCTAATTTTTTTGTATCTTTAGTAGAGACGGGGTTTCACCATGTTGACCAGGATGGTCTCGATCTCTTGACCTCGTGATCCACCCGCCTCGGCCTCCCAAAGTGCTGGGATTACAGGCTTGAGCCACCGCGCCCGGCCAATCAGTCTATTTTTATAGTGTTTTATTGGTTTCAAGTTAAGGTTCTTTGGCTCTAGGAAGGTTAGTCTTCAAATAAATGGTTTCAGAAGAGAGTTGTATAGCTGAATGTGGCGAGGAACTAGGTACCCGCAAGTGAACTTGAATCATACCCAGGTTCATTTTATCCCAAATCACAGTCTTCTGAGCTAACCTCATTTGGATTAAAGTATTGACTGCATGTCATTTACAATGTCTGAGCCTTCTGTATTCCTTAAAACAACTCTAGGAAGTAGATTTCATTTTCTTCATTTTTCAGATGAGGAAATGGAGGGTTGGAAAGGTTAAAGTGATATGGCAAGAAATTACCAGGACTCAAACCCATGTATCTCCAACTCCAAAGCCCCTGCTCTGTCTTGAGAGCAGAGAGTGGGTGGTAGCAAAGTCCTCTAGCTATTTGTGGTGAAGTTAGCCTTCACAGACTAAAATGCAAAAGATAATGTTGGCCAGGCGCAGTGGCTAACGCCTGTAATCCCAACATTTTAGGAAGCCAAAGCGAGCAGATCACTTGAGGTCAAGAGTTGAGAACAGCCTGGCCAATATGGTGAAACCCTGACTCTGTCTCAAAAAAAAAAGTAATGTCATTGCTAGATTAGAGGTGATTGCCGGCAGCTACCACTGAGAGATTTCGAGGTGTCTTTAAACCAGGACCATCCTGGGCAACTAGATCTTATGGTTCAGGACATCCAGCCTGGGAAAATCTAAGTACTTGTACTTAAACCCATTTCCTGACATAATTATTAATAGTGCCCCGCTCACGTTTTTTTTGAAACAGAATATTATTCTGTCGCCCAGGCTGGAGTGCAGTGGCACAATCTCGGCTCACTACAACCTCCGCCTCTCAGGTTCAAGTGATTTCTCGTGCCTCAGCCTCCCAAGTAGCTGTGATTTAAAGCATGTGCCACTGTGCCCAGCTATTTTTTATATTTTTAGTAGAGACAGGTGTCTCTCACCATGTTGGCCAGGCTGGTCTTGAACTCCTGGCCTCAAGTGACCCGCCCGCCTCGGCCTCCCAGTGTGCTGGGATTGCAGGCGTGAGCCACCGTGCCCAGCCAGCCCCGCTCCCTTTGTTGTTGGTGGTGTTGTTTTTGAGACAGAGTTTTGCTCTGCTCTGTCACCCAGGCTGGAGTGCAATGCTGTGATCTGGGCTCACTGCAACCTCTGCCTCCCGGGTTCAAGCGATTCTCCCACCTCAGCCTCCCAATTAGCTGGGACTACAGACACACACCACCATGCCCAGTTAATTTTTGTATTTTCAGTAGAGACAGGGTTTTGCCACGTTGGCCAGGTTGGTCTCTAACTCCTGACCTCAGGTGATCCGCCCGCCTTGGCCTCCCAAAGTGCTGGGGTTACAGGCATGAGCCACCGTGCCCGGCCCCCACTCACTTTTAGAGCACTGCTGCTTGTACAGGCAGTGCTCACGCCTATAATCGCAGCACGGGGGGAGGCCAAGGCAGGTGGATCGCCTGAAGCCAGGAGTTCAAGACTAGCCTGGGCAACATATTGAGACCCTGTCTCTACAAAAAAGAAAAAATGTACCTGGACATAGTGGCGCATACCTGTAGTTCCAGCTACTTGGAGGCTGAGGTAGGAAGTTTGCTTGAACCCAGGTTTAAAGGCTACAGTGAGCAGTCATAGTGCCACTGCACTCCAACCCTTGTGACAGAGTGAGACCCTATCTCAAAAAGGGGAGGAGAAGGGGGTATTGTGGCTTGGATAATTATATGGTCCCCTATCCATAATCCTTCCTGAATTCTTTTCAGATTAACATGGAGACTGGTGTTTCTGTGTAATTAGCACTAATAGAGTTTGGTCTATTTTTATTAACTACTTTCTTTGCCTCTGTCCCAGTTTCTACTCTGGGGCCAAAGTTAGCTTTGGTTTTATAGTCTGTTCACCCAACTAATGTATAGGCATGGTTTGCTTAATTTAGTTAACAGCAAGATTTTGCCACACCTGCTTTATCATCCTTTCTGCCAAAAAAAAATTTTTTTTTTCAAGATGGAGTCTCACTCTGTCACCCAGGCTGGAGTGCAGTGGTGCAATCTCAGTTCTCTGCAACCTCTGCCTCCTGGGTTCAAGTGATTCTCCTGTCTCAGCCTCCCCAGTAGTTGGGACTATAGGCGTGCGCCACCACACCCAGCTAACTTTTGTATTTTTAGTAGAGACGGGGTTTCACCATGTTAGCCAGGATAGTCTCGATCTCCTGACCTCGTGATGCAACTGCCTCAACCTCCCAAAGTGCTGGGATTACAGGCGTGAGCCACTGTGCCCGTTCCCCACCCCCACCACCTTTTTTTTTTTGAGACAGTTTTGCTTATATTGCCCAGGCTGGAGTACAATGACATGGTCTCGGCTCACCACAACCTCTGCTTCCCAGGTTCAAGTGATTCTCCTGCCTCAGCTTCCCAAGAAGCTGGGATTACAGGCATGCACCACCACACCTGGCTAATTTTGTATTTTTAGTAGAGACGGGGTTGAACTCCCAACCTCAGGTGATCTGCCCGCCTCAGCCTCCTAAATTGCTGGGATTACAGGCATGAGCCACTGCACCCAGCAAAATATTTAACTTAAATGACTCTTTACCCCAATATACCCCCATAGCTGAAATAAGCTCTTAAGTTTTTATAAACCTATTCTTTTTTTTTTTTTTTGAGACGGAGTTTCTCTCTT